GTCGTTTGTCGCTTCGTCCCCATGGGTGGCGATTATCCTGCTTCGGTATTCCGACGCGTCAACCAGGAACTGGAACGACTGGACGGTTCATCCAGTCGGAGGAAAAACGGACGAGAGGAACATGTAATATGTTTTTCTAGACAATTCGAGCATCAAACCAACGTATCAACCGGTGCGCACCCTCGAACGTCAAATCTGGATAATCCTCCTAGATCGTGGAAACGTTGCGGCGCACGTACGATATTTGCACAAGGTGATGACTGACAGTGTTTCATGGTCAGAATACATTGCCAGTTGAAACGAGGACACGGCATAAGTCGAGAAACGTCTTAAGCGTTCGTCACTACAGTATCTCATCCAAACTTCCCTCTGCGGGGAACTGATGGAAATTTGATCGCAGTCCCGGGTTGTACTCCAAGCTACAGTGGACTGCGCCCTTCGTTCGTATGGTCGGTTCTTTGCCTCGCGGAGTATGTATGTAGGTAAGGAGCTCAGAACGTTTGCGAAGGTGAAGACAGCAACAACTACAACCAACCTTACCTCGCTGCAAAGCGCTTTGCGGCAAAACTCTCCGAAAGCCTCCTTCAGAGGAAGAAATCCCATCACAGAAGCCAGCGGGTTTTCGTGATAGTGGACACTAGACCTACTCCCAGGGATCCTCAATGTTGACCTTGCGCTCGGGGATCCAGCAATACAGGCCACACGGACGTTGTTCTTGTCATGCTTGATCCACCCCGGGAAAAACCACCTTAGCGTATCCTGCTGCCCACCGTTGTCGAGTTGGAGAAACTCTCGTACCGGTTTGACGTTGCTGCCAATCGATTTCGTCATCAGGAAGCGTGTAATATGGAGAAGGCGGACTCTGCCCGTAGCGAGAGCAACAATAGTCTAACCTAAAACTGCGTCTTATTGCTCTCGTCTCAGGGACTGTCGTCAGTCGAATGTGATACTACAGGATATGTTTGCGCCGGACTTTGAGTGACTTAAGTGAGGCTGCGCGGAACTTCCGCTATCGTTTTGATGACCTCCCGAACATGCACACCTACGGTGCACACCCAAAGTTTGCTTTAGGTCGCAGTGCATCGTCCCCACTCGAATGATTGTCGCATACGAGTACAGCCAACTGATTGGATATCATTGCACCGGCCACCAACACGCATGGGATAGAGCAAGCGTTTTGGTGATGGCTTCCGTAAGGAATTAATCCCTAATACCAGTGTCGACTTCCAGGAAGCTCCATTCAGAATTCGTAGGGGTTGATCGATTCCATAGAAGCTTTGCACCGCTACCACGCGAAGCCCGTGGGAACTCGCGGAGTTCGTGGACAACGAGGTAGAACTTCCAAGCATCTGTATATCTATGAGGAACCCTGGGAGCTTTCCATAAGATTGTACCTTGGAAAACCTCTTTGATGTCCAACGTAAAGCATGTGTGAACTCCATGGCGCCTTTCACGAATTCCTTCACTTGCATCGATCTCTTGCTTTCTTCGTGCCAATGGGCGACTTGCCAGGGAACGGCATGTCATGCTGTGATGTACGCAAACTCCTCCGAGAACAGGGAGGTGGACGCGCATGGCCGCGTCAGGCAGTAGAAACTGAACGTTTGGATATCGCTGAAGCCCACCAATGCAGGTTTTGGCGCTTTTGGCCCCGTCATGACCTCAGGAATGATTCGGTCAAGATCTTGAGATTGGCAAACCATGCCAAAAATCATTTGAGGGACAATGCTTTCTCGTAACCCGGTCATGGCATTGGTATCAGGACGGAGGTCTTGAGCGAATTCATGACTAAATAGCGACCGAGCGATGATAGCTGGTTCACGGAAATGAACCCAAATTTATTCAACTACTGCTGCTAGACGAAATATGAACACAAAATGGGCATATGCTGTATCAAAGTGACCCCCATGAGCAAGGGAACAAATCACTGTGGCCGGAATTTCGATCAGAGCCGTGGCCACAGTGCAATGCGCATAAATGTGTCCCGGCCAATGAGAAGCATCAAACATGATATAATACTATTAATAATGCATGCAAGCCCACACTTCCCACCTCTTTCAAACGCAGTTTCACAAAAAGCACGATTCCCATACTCTAGGGGACCTACAGAAAAAAAAAAGTAGANTGCTGCTAGACGAAATATGAACACAAAATGGGCATATGCTGTATCAAAGTGACCCCCATGAGCAAGGGAACAAATCACTGTGGCCGGAATTTCGATCAGAGCCGTGGCCACAGTGCAATGCGCATAAATGTGTCCCGGCCAATGAGAAGCATCAAACATGATATAATACTATTAATAATGCATGCAAGCCCACACTTCCCACCTCTTTCTAACGCAGTTTCACAAAAAGCAAGATTCCCATACTCTAGGGGACCTACAGAAAAAACGGTCATCGTGGGAGCGAGTTATGCCCAAAACTGTGGTTCACCGGCCGAGATTTGGCGTCGTCGAGTTTCTACGGACGGATTGTATACTGGGAAATACGCAGAGAGTCGCGTGCTTGTTTGCCTCGTATATATCGAAGAAAAAGTTTAATCGTCCTCAGATTTTGATAGCATGGTGCAACGATGTTGCGCAAACCGTAAAAAAAAAGAATGAGACAGTGTTTGCACTGCTGACCGGTCTATTGGGGTCCCCGGTGTGAAACCCGCGAAAACCGGTTCCAAATATATGAACGCCACGTTCTTTTTCCGCTGCGCGATAATTCAACAACCATTTCCAGAATCTTAGTACCTCTTGTAAAACTGACGCAGCACAGGGCTTTGCAGTAAAAAAAGGGGCCCGCGGACCTGATTCTTTACTAGTATCAAGTAGTTTTGGGGAAAATCAGGATGGCGAATACTTCATGACACAAAAGCTAAAAACTTCACGCCGATTTTTAGAGTTAGCCTTTGAAACTTTGTACACATGTACATTGGGTTGGTGCGAAACGCTGTGCGGTGACGTCTTTTGTTATTTTCTTGCACTGTCGCCGGTTATTCGGGGTCCCAGGAGCAGCACATGTCCCCGAAAACTCTAGGACTCCGCATATCCGGCGACAGGGAAAAAAAAAGAAGGGCCCCTCCACACAGCGTTACGAACTAACCCGATGTACATGTGTGCAAAGTTTCAAAGTCAAACTCCTGAAAACGGCGTGGTGTTCTCGTGTAGTTCTTGTATCCTTTTCCCTAAACCAGCTTGTAGTTTGGGCTCAGTCACGGCAAGGGACAGAGACATGAGTTAAAACATCATACGTACTTTTTTCAAATTCATAGTGAACCCTGGCTCCGCCATAAACCGGGCCATGACCCGATCATGACCGGCCCATGACCGTACACCGTATGTTTAAGGGTTGAACATCGGTCATCACGCCATTGACCCTGTCACTACCCGGCCGTAAGTCATCAGCTAGCGTACGATTTACCCTATGATTATGGAACCATGAGAAAGCAGGTGAAGAGCGACCACCTGTTCCGATAAACGAGTTTTTGGAAATAAAAAGTGAAATCCACGACCGAGTCATGGCATGTTGACCCCTTCAGCGCTTCTTGTTTCTGGTCGGTCATCGAAGTTCATGTGTGTTTCGAATTTCTCACGTAGAAATCGAGGGCGCTTTAAGTTGTCACGAACGCACCAAAGAAGAAATGCACAAGTGACTTCACGCCGCTAGCTGTTGTCGCGTCGTTCGTTGCGTGTTCCACCACGTGTACCTTATTCACTGGTGCCGTCCTCTCGAGATGTCCCTCGAGCCACCCACAGGCCGCCCATGGACCACTTACCGGAAGTTGGCGGCCCGCGATGGTCGATGGGTGGTACAAAGGGCCTTCATCGTCCCGTGGGAAGTCCCAAGGGATTCTCGTGGGTTTGACTCGTGGGATGTCTTACTGGTCGGATGAAATGCATAGCCAATGAACCCTAATGCACGGCCCAGCCCATGACGGCCCTACTAAGACCATTGGCGTTCTACAGGCCTTCTCCCACTCATCGCCTGTCATGGGCCATCAACCGCCCGTGGACCGTCGACCTACATATACCCGTAGAACGTCCCGGAGCTGCCTATTGGCCGCCGAAGGATTGTCATCCGACGGGGTTTTCGAATAACTCTAATCACTATCTGTGCATTGTCACGATGTCCTTTGGGTGAGCTATGGGTTTTCATTGGTAGTGGGATGGTCCATGAATACCCCGTGGGCCGCACCAGAAACGGCCCTTCGTCTTACTGGCATGGACTCGACATGGATTGGCGGTCTAGTCTATGGAGCGTTCAATAACGCGTCCCCAGTGCGGTGCTCCATCCCCCCATTCTAGACATGAGTGGGTGGGCGCTGTTGGCAAAGCGCTGTATAACACGCCACCCGAAATATGGCCCCCATAGTATGCGCTACCAAAGACGCGTGACGCATGGACGAGTGCAGTGATGATAGCTGTTAACGAAATCTCATGGGTTGAGTAATGTATGAGATTGCCGGACACATTGACGTGATGAGTGAGGGTAGCTGTATACTGAAGCCTCAAGGGTTGAGTAAGGTCTGGGATTGCCGGACACATAGACGCGTTGTGTGAGGATAGCTGCATACTGAAACCTCACCGGCTGGTTGGTGTTGGAGAGTGCCGGACACATAGACGAGTGAGGATAGCTGCATACTGAAACCTCACAGTTGGATTAGTTTTGAGCTTGCTGGACACATAGACGCGTTGTGTGAGGATATCTGCATATTGAAGCCTCACGAGTTTTAGTAATAAAATTGAGATTGCCAGACACATGAACGCGTTAAGTGGGGATAGCTGCATACTGAAATCTCACGGGTTGAGTGATCATGGAGAGTGCCGGACACATAGACGCATTGAGAGAGGAAAAGCTGCATACTGAAACCTCACAGGTTGATTTGTATTGGAGATTGCCGGACACACGGACGGGTTGAGTAAGGATAGCTGTATACTGGAAATCCATACAGTCGAACCTCGCTTAAGTTAACGAAAATTAAGTCAACTCCCCCGGTAAAGTTAACAATTTTTTCGGAAACATGGTGCCCCGCAGAAAGTATTACATACAGGGGGGGTGAAAATACAGTCCACGGACCCCCTCAAAACCAGCAGCAGCAGCGCTCTCACTGCTCTGTAGACCGTCAATAAGAGGTCTGCTGCTGCACCTGCTGTCTGTGGGTATGGAGAGATTCCTTCCATCCAGCGGTGCATCGTCTGCGCCTGGCAAAAAACGATGCGAGGACCCTACATGCACGGTACCGGACTCCACGGACGATGAAGATCGTGGGGGTAGACCAGAGTCGTGCGTAACATCTTCGATGACAGAGGCCGAAGTTCGCGGTAGCCTAGAGAAGGTTCGCTCCTACTTGTACGCGAACGGAAAGGATGGGGAGTACCGCGAGACCCAGTACCTGCTCTCGAAAGTTGTGCATTCGTTCACTCACGAAACTCAAGTGAAGCGGCGAGCCAAGGAGGGGGGGGAGCTGCAGGCAACTCTGCGCGACATGTGGAGGTCGTAGAGTGTGCGGTACAAACGACCAGAGCTGTGTTTGGGGTGGCCTATGTTTGTCTTGAATGCGTGGCACCGCATGAGACTACTACACAGGAGTGACTGTACATTGCGATCGACGACAGTTTTGAGAAATGTGTGCGTGGGTTCAAGCGTTCCAACATAGCATCTTGGTTATAGTGTTGTTTAGTAAAATGGACATGAAAATATGCTCCCTCTCACTTTTTCCAGTCTCCTCTCTCGTCAAACACGTAGTGGAGCCCAATGCGCGTCTATCGAGGTATCCACCGCCTCTGTTGGCCCCGGGGATGGTGAGTGGTGGTCCCCTGAATTTTAAGTTAACTTCCCCGCCTTAATTTAACTTTTTTCGGGAAAAACCATGTGTTAACTTAAGCGAGGTTCGACAGTAGTAACAATAGCGAGGGGAAAATTCGAGAATGCAGTACACATAGACCCGATCCCCAACCCGTGCCCGAAGCCCCCCTGAAAAATAGAGGCCATGCACCCCCGCCCCCCCGCTCTACTTCCCCCAGTGGATGAGGAGGGTGCAATCCAAAGTGAGCACAAGCTTACCTAAGGTTAATGCCTATTGGTACGGAAAAAAAAAAAAGCTGAAGTCCCCCATTGGGCGGTGGAGGACTTAGAGCTAAGACACCCCAGTACTCTCCGACGTGAGATCCAATATGGATCGGACGGTAGAGGGG